AAAACTAATGGCAGTTTACATGAAGCAATTAAGCAGATGAAGCTTTTCGTAGCACATTATCTGTTGGTCTGCAGGAAAAACTGTGTGTGTGTGTGTAAACACCTAAAAGAGAGGGGGGGAGGGAGGGAGAGCTCACTTTTAATGCTGGAGAAGCGGGACCAGGCTTAGGTTGGAGAACAACCCCCTAAAAGCAATCAGCCAGCAAGAGCAGTACTTGCACAGGTTAGTTCATTCTTCTGCCCTCAGCGATGAAGATGGAAAGCTGCCTGCAACTAGGCCCCTACTGCTCTGCTTGCCAAAGGAGAAAAACTGTGCCTTAATTCAAATGGGCTGTAATTGGTCTCTTTAAATGACTAAGTAGATACTTGTGGAGTGGGTGCCACTGGATTTTTTTCCTTATCAATGAGATGATGATAGGCTAATTCATCTCAGCAGCAGCAGCAGCAGCAGCAGCAAATGGGCCTTGCAATTGCCCTCCATATAAACATTGGCCCGGTTTTAGGAGCATGTTTGACCTTCTCTCCATTTCCCTGCCTTCTTCTGCTTCCTGTCCCTGTTCCCTGAGGTCTGCCTGCTCTCTATTTTTCCCTTCCTTCCTTCCTTCCTTCCTTCCTTCCTTCCTTCCTTCCTTTACAGCAACCCACGGTGTCTCCTCACACACAGCGCCATACCTCACACATTTGCCACTGCTAACAACAACCTGTCAGCTCTTTCTTTGCGCTGTGCTAGGCGCTCTTTGTTTTCGCAGCCCAGCAAGCCTTGCAGCTGTTGTCCGAGGCCTGCTCCGCCAGCCTGTGATCAGTCAGCTGCAAAATCCTCCCTGAACAACTCGGTATTCACAGCTCTAATCGGGCCAGCGGACTGTTTCCTCCTCTCTTGCAGTAAATCTTGATCACTTGCGCTCTGCTCGTCAGCTAGTGGCGCCAGCTCTTTGGGCTGTTCTGTCCTTTTCCCATACTCTGCGGCAACGTGTGCTCTGAATGCTAACGTCGGCCTTGTTTAGACTCGCTGCTAACTCAGGCCTGTGATCCACAACTTGGAGAAGTCCAAATTCTTCTCTCGTTTTTTTATCCCCCTCCCCACCCCCCCCACCTCCCTGCCCCTTCCTCACAGCTTGCACGTAGTAGAAGCAAATTTCTCGCTCTTCCAAGGGAAGGAAATAAACATTCCTAAAGGATTCCCTCTGCCTATTTCATATTTTACCCATATAAGTTAATTATGTGATTGTCTTTTCATTTCCCTCAAGGAAGGCTGCTGTTCTCTGGACTTTATGGAGTTTTTGGGCCAAGGATGAAGATAAGCTGTACTGACAGATGCAATAACTAACAGCAAGACATCCCTACAGGAAACTGGCACAAACATTAATCGGACCACATGTCCAAGTTGATTAACAGGCTGCATCGTTTGTAATTTAGGTGACTTGTATCTGATTCACACATTTCTTTTCATCCGATGTAGGGAAGTCAGCGTGTTAATTTTTAAGGAAGTTTTACTCAGCAACAGTCACTTTTGACTCTTTAAAATGTGGTGGTCCTTTTCACATGATAGCCACATCCCCACATGAAGATGGAAGGGGATTGTTGATGTGTGTAGACATCATAGCATCAAAAACACCCATCTGCATCCTTTTCTCCTTCCATTTTTGCTGACAGAGGCAGTTTCCTGTCACAACAACCCTATGAGGTAGGTTTGGCTGCCCGAGATCAGTAAACATATAGGTGCATAATTATTTGAAGCTGAATCTGATTTCCCATATTCAAACCCCAGTTTGTCCGGGTTGTACCACTAGGGACTCAGCTAGATTGGTAAAGAAAAAGTGTTTTATATGCATTGTATATGCATTATAACACTGTGACACCAGATGGCGCTGTGGAGTTCTATTTTTGCCAACGAAATTTCTCATACAAAGTTTAACGCGTTTAACTGAAATGCTTCCTTCGTGTGTCTAGAGATGCAGCCTATGTCTCAAAAAGGCTGACAAAACTTCACCTTAAAAGCTTTAAAACCCTTTCCGAATAGGCTTAACAATTAAAGTAACCTTATATCTTTATCACAGTTATATGCATAATAATAATAATAATAATAATATAAATTATTTTTACCCCGCCCATCTGCCTGGGTTTCCCCAGCCACTTTGGGGCAGCTTCCAACAAAATATTAAAATACAATAGTCCTTCAGATAGTAAAAGCTTCCCTAAACAGGGCTGCCTTCAGATGTCTCCTGAAAGTCTAGTAGTTGTTTTTTCCTTTGACATCTGGTGGGAGGGTGTTCCACAGGGTGGGCTATTAGGATGCAGGAAAGTTTCTCTCTCACATAACACAGAACTCATGGACATCCAATGAAGCTGAATGTTTGAAGATTCAGGAGAGATAAAAGACAATGCTTCTCCATGTAGCACGTAGTTAAATTATGAAACTTGCACCCACAGGAGGTGGTTGGATGGATTTAGAGGGCTACCAACGGCTGCTAGCCACAGTGGCTGTGCTCTATCTACCTCCACAGTCAAAGTCAGTCAAGCTTCTGAATAGCAGCTGCTGGAAACGACAGGAGAGGAGAGTGCTATTGTGCTTGAATTCTGCTCCCTGGTTTCCCATAGGCACCCGTTTGGCCACCGGGATAACAGAATGCTGGACTAAATGGGCCATTGGCCTGATCCAGCAGGCTCTTCAGGAAGAATAAAAGGAGATGTACGTGGTTCTCCACCTCCTTATTTAATCCCCACAACAACCTCATCAGGTAGGTTGGGCTGAAAGGCCATGACTGGCCCAGGTGAGCTTCATGGCCAAGTAGGGATTTGAACCCTGGTCTCCCAGCTCCTAGTCCAACACTCTAACCACTATATCACATTGCTTCGCTGGTTCTAATCATAGATTTACAAAACATAAACAATCCAAATTGCATTCATTGGGGTTGGGTCCAGACTAGGCACATTGGGGTTCCATTAAAAGCAATGGGACTGCAGTTCGACTTTACTAACTGGATCCAGTGATCCACATGGGACTAACTCGTGACTAACTTAGACTAAACCCAACCCATGGAATACATTCTGGGTAAAATCTGTAAAATGACCGATTGCAAAGAAAGCTCCACATTTAGTAACAGAAATAAGGTAAATTATACAGTACCCATTTCTAAAGTCTGTTTAAAAAATTCATTGAAAATTCTGCAATAAGCCTTGCCTATTTTATTGCTTCTATCCCTGCTGCAGAGCAAAACTCAAAACATGCAGAGGACCTAATTTCTCAATATAGTGCTGATTACATATGTGGCTTTATGTTCTTTCTAGGATGCTGGAGGTTCAGCCACTCTGTTTGCTCTTTCTTTCAGGGTAGAGGGAGACTCTCAAGAATCACACTGTGTTATAGTGCTTCAGACATGAAGAGTGCTTTCTTCTTAGTGTTTGTCACTTTCATGAGCATTTGTCTGACTGTTTAGACGTGTGGTATTACAACATTATGCATGCTTAAGGCTGTAAAGGTAAAGGTACCCCTGACCATTAGGTCCAGTCGTGGACGACTCTGGGGTTGCAGCGCTCATCTTGCTTTATTGGCCGAGGGAGCCGGCGTACAGCTTCCGGGTCATGTGGCCAGCATGACTAAGCTGCTTCTGGTGAACCAGAGCAGCGCACAGAAACGCCGTTTACCTTCCCGCCAGAGTGGTACCTATTATCTACTTGCACTTTGACGTGCTTTCGAACTGCTAGGTTGGCAGGAGCAGGGACCGAGCAACGGGAGCTCACCCTGTCGCGGGGATTCGAACCGCCGTCCTTCTGATCGGCAAGCCCTAGGCTCTGTGGTTTAACCCACAGCGCCACCCGCATCCTGCTTAAGGCTGTAAGCAGTTTTAATTACTGTATTACTGCCCCCCTCTTTCTAGTTCAACCAAAATTTGTTGTGAGCATTCTGTACTGAACTCAGTGAGAATTAGGTGGCAATCCCATCCCCAGTTACCTGGAATTTGGTCATCTGTCATGCTTGCTGTAGCTGAGATTCCTGCATTGCAGGGGGTTGGACTAGATGACCCTTGGTGTCCCTTCTACAATTCTATGATTCTATGAATAAGCCCTACGGGATTCAATAGGATCTACTTATGACATGGTTAGGATTGTGCTGCAAGTGCCCTCAGAGTAGAACTAGGTGTTTCTGGAAAGCAGTGAGTTGTGATGCTACAACTTACCTAAGACACCATGGTTGTGGGCTGCTGGGCCATCAGGATACATCTACAGTCCTCAAAGCTCTATCCTGTTTTTGCCATTAGGCTGCAATTCTGTTCACGCCTACCTGTGATTAAGTCCTGTTTAACACAATGGAATTTGCTTCAGAGGAGACATATTACAACACAACCCTATTGACTTAGAAACAAGTCCCATTGATTTCAGTGGCTCTTACTCTAAGGTAAGTGGTAAAAAGGCTTACCTTTACCTTAGCTGTGTAAATATGCTGCAGTAACTTTGCTATTTTTGGCCAGCACTGTTACCAGCTTCTTAAAACGTCAGGCTGGATACTTCCTGGGCCATCCAGAGGTTTGGTCATTGACAGTCCTGACTGCTGTTGTAGCCAAGCCTCACTTCCTTCATATTGTCATTATTTATTACTTATATAGCCCCATGTACATGACCTGGCACTTTTCCATGAGTGAAAGACTGCTCCCTGCCCCAAGGGGCTTACAATCTAGACATATGCACAAGGGAGATAACAGAGGAAGGGGAAGGAAATGATTTCATTCTCCCCACAGGCGAGTCTTCCCTAATGAATCTTCAGAAGAGTTGGACCTAAATACCTAATCGGCTATGGGCAATGCTCTGATAATTAAGTGAAAGAAAATGTTGAATGTGGCTGTTTGGTTTCAAAATTAGACATGTAATAGAAAGCAATATAAGGAGACTCTTGTTCTTTTGCAGTGTGAAATTCATGCAATGTGCATAATATATTTAACCCTAGAGAGAGGAATGTTAAGTGGATGAATTTTTGTGCTTCTCTAGAATGGATATCCTTCAGGTATTGTGTGTGTGTGTGTGTGTGTGTGTGCGTGCACGCACGCACACACACACACACAACACACACACACACACACATTTAGAATTTCACCATTGTCTTCTTTCATTTATTTATTTATTGGCTTGTCACAATAATGTTAAACTTGTCAATACTAAAGACTGAATTAAGGGAGGAGTGGGGTATTTGTAACTGGATCTGTGTGATCACATCCTTTCCTCCCTCCATAATACCTTCTCTTGAATCTTGCTTCACTTCTCTCACTTAAAACAGAGTGAGGAGGAACTGCAGAGAGCTGGTTATATCTTTGATCAGTGTTTTCTCTGTCTCTCTGAATCATTAGGTCATCTCCTCATTTTCTCTGTAGAATCCTTGTTTTGTATAGTGTTTCAGCATGCGGGCATTTTTTGTTAAGATTGTGGCCTGATGATCACTTCCTTCCTTTACAAAATTGTCTTTTTTAAAAAAAGAAAAGAAAATGCTTAAATAAAAGAGTAATTCTTTTCTTCCTCTTGCAGCAACAGCTCTTTCCTTCTTATGAAAAATAAAATGTCCCATAGTCAGAGATTATTTTCAAAATGCTTATTTTGGCCTCTTTACAATCCAAATACATCATCCCGCTGTAAACGCTTCTCTTCAGACTTCTAATCAGTTTAAGGTAGTCTTATTCATAGGCTATGTCTAGTACAAACCTTGCCTTCTTAATTTTTACAAAAGTGTGTTTGTCACCATGTAAACCTGTGAATGCAGTCTGAGTTCTTTCTTTCTTTCTTTCTTTCTTTCTTTCTTTCTTTCTTTCTTTCTTTCTTTCCTTCCTTCCTTAGACTGCCAAGTATCTGAAATAGCTGCAATCAGAAAGTTGCTTTTGTCTGTAAGGCGATACAGTTACTTTTCACCTCCTTGACTGATATTGTATGTTCTCAACGGGAATGAGGAAAAATCATTCAGGTATACTGTTTTTCCAAAAAACGCAACAGAACATGCTTCCTGCTTCCTGACAGCGTTCCTGGTTAACAGCTTGATCAGCCAGAACAAAGTTACATATCAGTTTTCAGTGGAGCTTGCTGAAATGGACTTTCTTTCCTTCCTCTCTGCCCTCCTTTCCATGTTCAAAGAGATCGTAAACATAATCTAGATAGACCATTAATACTAAATAAAAGATCCGAAATGGGTGGTGCATTAATTCCCTAAAGGATATTATTATTGTTATTATTATTATTATTATTATTACCCCCAACTTTCACACTAAGGTCCCAGGGCAGGTTACAACAATTTAAACCACAACATTAAAAGCAGTTTTTAAAAACTTACAATTACAGAAAAAAGCAATTACAATAAATAGGGTAGGTCCTGAAATTATACAGGGGAGGTGTTTCACAACTTAGGGGTTGTCACAGAGAACAGCCTCTCCCACCCCAACCCCAAACTTCTGAGGGTGGTGGAACTACCAACATGACTGATTTCAACTCCCAGTAGGTTGTCTTTCATGTATTTAGGACTTTAAATACCTTGAACTGGGCTTGGAAACAAACTGTCAACCAATGCAGCTGTTTTAAAACAGGAGTTAGATGTGATCTAAATGGAACGCCAGCCAGTAATTTGGCTGCTGTATTTTGGATCAATTGAAATCTACTTTACAGTCGAAACAGTCTTGGGCATGAGCCTGAGATGGACCAAGCAGAGGGCATGTCTGCCCCCATTTCTGGTGAGAGAGAGAGAGAGAGAGAGAGAAGGAACAGGAAATACTTCTTTGATTCTTCCCGCTCAAGAGACATGGGGAAATGATATCACATAGAACCCTCTCTATCAATTACATTTCTATGGTCTGAGTCTCTGTCAACAGCAATACAGCTCTGTGGTCATCAGCACCAAAACATACTAAAAAGCAAGAAAATGCATTGTTGGATTTGACTATAATCTCCCACACTGGATGGGGTTGCACTTCTCTGAAGAAACAGGTATATAGGCTGGGAGTATGCCTTCATCTGTCATTGCCACTGGATTGGTTTTTATCGGCTTTGGCTGGTGTGCCAGCTCTGACTGTTGCTGGATAGAGATAACTTTGCTACAGTGCCCCATGCCCTGGTCACCTTGTAATGTGGATCATTGCAATGTGATCTATGTGGGGCTCCCCTTACATTGGTTTTGGAAGCTGCAGCTACTGAAGAATGCAACCCTTTCCCATTTTGACTCCCAAATTGTTCCCTTCCCAAAATTGTTCCCCCTTCCTCCCTACCCCCTTACAATGCTCCCCTTTTCACCCTGTAGGTATGAGGGCAAAGAGTTGCATCTGAGGTCTCCTCTCCTCTGTTGCCATTCCTACCTTTGTGGGCCAACAGCCAGGTGGACTACCTTCTGGTGCCTGTCATGTTGAAAACCAACTCTGGGTCTGAGGCCTAGTAAAATACCTCTTCAAACTCAGAGCCGGTTCCATTAGTTTTTGGAATTCTAGTACATGGCACCTGGGCATTCTATTAAAATGTTTTGTTCCATAGTCAAGTAAGTGCTAGACGTCTACTGTGAGATAATTGGCTGATTAGTTCAAATAATATTTGCCTCCCCCCCCCCCCGCTTTTTGACAGTTATACTGGCCAACCCACAACGAGAAGAATCCCTTGGCATAGTCTGGATGTAGCAATTAGTCACTCTATATCTTGACCAGCCTTCCTAGTATGCCTTTCTTTTCCCATCAAAGCATATAGCTCCCTCAACCTTAAATGCTTTGAAACTGAATGCTGTGACTCCTTCTCTGATTAGTCCCATTTTTTATTTCCAGTCCCTGCTGTCTTTTCTCTCAAGCAAGCTACTATTCCTTCATGTCCCTCTAAGTCCTTTGCCTGCTCTGTAATCTCCCTTCGACCTCCTTAATTCTAGGTTTCCTGTCCCTTAGCTTCACTACATCCCGGGACCACCTCTCAGTCCTCAGCCTCCCTTACTGGGGGACTTTAATCCCAGCCATCTTGACAGCATTCCCTTCCCTCACAGAAATAAATGGAATGAAGGCTGATGCACTTCTGAAGCAATTGAACAGTCTTTTTCACCACACCAGCTCAGAATTGATGTCACAGGTTTGACCAGCGCTCCCACACAATATGATGCAAATTTGATTAAAATGCAAGGACGATATTAAAATGAACTCTTTTTTTAATCCGGGATTGAGGGGGAAGCTACTCTTGCATAGTTTCTCCTTTAGTTTCTATCAATGCTTGCCTGTTCTCTTAGTACTTTTGTGACATTTTTCGTTGCCGAAGAGTAAGTAAGAGGCATGTGGTTTGTGTCCTTCTCGGCACAATGTAACATTGAAAGAACTTGGAGCATGCATATAATCACAAGGTCTTGAAACAGTTGTTTACTTTGTCAACATTTCAGATTTTGCCCTTTAAAGATAAAACTCCTTGATTTGGCTTTTAACAGGACTCCTCTAAAAGGCTGTATTGTTTTCACTTCATTGTACAGGGAATTGTGGGACCTTAGGTAAATACATTGAAAAGAGATGCCTTTACCTTTCCAGTCTGATAAATGTAGGAAACCTGTGATGCTAAGGGATAAGCATTGGCGATCTCTAGGTTTTTTTAATTTAAAAAAATCTTTAAAAGAAAACTTCAAGACCTCTGTATTAGTCAAAAGGCCCTTGCTAGGTTTGTGCTGCTGCCTTTTCCACCTTCTCTGAATATGTGACTAATAAGAGTAAGTTAAGTATCCTATTTCCTTTTAATTTTGTGTTAAGATATAATTTTCACCAGCTTCATATGTTATTTATTTCCTATAGTGGTTAGCTTGTGGTGATGGTTAGGATGTTTTAATTGTCATTTTCTTATGAGCTGTAAGCACCTTGAAGGTAATTTAAATGAGGCGGAATGGCAGAATGTAAATATTTCAATACAAAGAAGTAAAATAAATTTGTAACACACACACACACACGCACACACACATACACACACAATTTTATAGACTAGAACCCATTGCAGTTGATACCGAACATAATCCTTGTTTACTGTTGATATTGAATGTCAGTAATTTTTGTTTGCAAATTGGAGGTCACCTAAAATGTAATTATTATTTTTCTGATTAGTTGTTCAAGTATCTTCCTCCTGACTGTGAGGTTTTAAATTCACATGAAGATCACAAATACTGAATCTGGTTGTTTTTTTAAAAAAGGCATATAATCGAGATACTATGACAATGTATTAGTTATGAGTATATCACCATTTTTCACAGAGGTGTATACGACATACATTGACCACAGTCCCATTGTAGTCAAGGAGATCTAGTTATACATAACAACTGGTGGTCTGGAATGGGGGCGACATGCAGCCCCATTTGCATCAAAAGATGCACTCAGCCAGTTCGATAGGATAAGCATAATAATGTTCACAGTCCATCCAGATGAAGATACACATTCAAATCAACTGTGCATGCGGATCTGCCTTACTGGATCTGGACAAAGATGTACAGCATGGGGCTTCCCATCCCATGAATCTCCCAGTGTGTGCATTTCCCATCTCATACATGGAGCTAAAATTACCATAGTATATTGGGAATATTTCTTTCTTATGGTGAAGCAGAGGAAGGATCTTCAATTCCAGAAGAGGGAGGTGTGAGGCAAAAGTCAATGCTGGACATTAAGGTTGCAACCCTATACACTTGGGAGGAAATCCATTGTACTTAATGATATTTTCTTCTGAGTAGACATGCATGGGATTGTGGTGCAAAAGCCATAGAATATACCCCCCCAAAAAAGTAACTTGATCCATTACTGTAAAATAATGCCTGTTATAATCCGCCCCCCCCCCCAGGATAATTGTGAATAATGAGGTCAACACTGTTATGTTATAAGAAGAATTTATCCTGACACAGAAATAGAGAACTAATACAATTCTCATCTGATCCCCATTAAGCACAATGTGTTTGTTGTGTTTATTGCATCTAGGGATCCCCTTCCCCTCAACTGGGCCACTAGCCACACAAAACAGAGGCTTAAATCAAACCCAGAATTAAGTTTGCATAACTGTTGGCTTAAGTACCCTCATTCTGGGTTAGATATAGACTAAAGTGCAGTGGTTGGAATAAACCTGTTTGGTTTAATGAAGTTCACTGAACTAGTTCAAAAATCTCTGAACTACACCTGAAAATAGTTCCCATTATTGCTGGATGAATTAAAGGTGAATTAAGGTTATTTTGGGGTAGAACTTTGATTTGTTTCTAGTTAATTTTCATGTTCATTCCCCTTTTCCACCCCTTGCCTCCAGTAGGAGGCCTGGAAGCTTTCATATATTTTTTTAAAAGTGTCAGTTGAAAGTTAGAAAACAAAACATGGAAGCAACATTATGTGTCTTATGAGGCAGATATGGAGGTATTGCTGTTGCTATGGTCACTCAGTCACCAAAATCACTGTTGCTAAGCAAAGAAAGAAGGAATATGAGGCATTTCCAGTATCTTCTCTGCTGAAGAGATTCATTCTCTTCCAACAGGTGGAGCTTGCCGTGTGAAGTACAGGTAAAATAACAAAGTGAATGCTGTCTTGTGCCTGCTGTGTAGCAGGCAGAAATTAAACAGGTAAGCCTTTTCCAAGATAGAAATAGAATTATGGGGAAAGACAATTCTGTCTTTTAGATATCTTATTACTTGTGTGTAGCCCCTGATTTACTTTTGGACCCTATACTTCAGCTTATCATATTCTGAATGCTGATTTCCCACCTCCAAAGAATTAGTCTTTCATGAACTTTCATTTGGATGAACTTGAACCAAACTAGTTTGTTTTATAAAAGTACGAGCTTTAACTTGAACTAGTTCCTTTTGGGACAGGATGAACTAGAACCTTTTATAAATGAGTTTTCTAAGTACTGCTAAAGTGTGACTAGTACTGGACTGGTGGATTATTGTACTTCCATAAAATTATAGTATGCATTGACTTTTTTTCTTGTATGTTACATCATTCTGAAACTTTATTGTAGAAATCTGAGTAATAAAATTGTATATGTAAATAAATATGATTTATTTATAATTTGATCCCATGCTTCTTAAACTCAAAGCAGTTACAACCACCCAAAATTGCCAAGACCAAAACGTTATTTGAAACCAGTACATATTGCATATGAAACGAAACACCAAAATGAATACAACTTCTCTGGAAACCTTGATGAAACTGAGAGGATTTACAACCCATGTGAAAGGGCAGTGGCGATGAACCTTCCTTACCTCTTGAGAAGCTCCAGGCCTGTGTGGGGGGCGGGGACGGGACGGGCAGCTGGGTACACTTGCCCCAGGCCTTGGAGGGCTAAGCTGGCCAGGAGGTCCCATCAGAGACCCTCTGCTTTTTTGTTTGCGTTTATAACTTTATTAAAACAAGACTCCTGTACTGGTCCTCAGACAAGCTCTACACAGGCCTGGGAGGTTTCATGGCTTGGGGCTACAGTTTAAATGCTCAGTCTTTAGCTGATGATAGCTGAACCTGTCAAAATGACAGTTTAAACAACAGGCCCAGCTGACTTGACCTCAGCTGGTTGTGAGTTTGGTCAATATGTGAAGAAAAGATTTACTCCAACCATATGTTTTAATGCAGGGATGAGAAACCTGTATCCCTCAAGGTAAGCCATTGGACTCCCATCAGTCCCAGCGAGCAGAGTCTCCAGTCACCGTGGCCAATGATCAAAGCTGACAGCAATTGCACTCCTGCAACTTCTGGAGGTTCTCCATCCCTGATGTAAGGGCAATTTTTCTAAGAATATATATATATAAAATCAGAGTTAGGAAACAGTCTGACAGTCAGTCTGCTAACAATAACTAGTGACCTTTGGTTCTGACAGGGACCAAAAGGCACCTTGTTTGGAGTAAAGTACTACAATAAACCAAAGTCGTATCCCTCAGCTCTATTGCTTTCAAGGAATTGAAACTTCAGTGGGCCAAGTAGCTGTATCATATCCTGCCATGGCAGACCAACTGAGGCAATAACTACGGTTCAATCTGTCTCTGCCTCAATATCTAGTTTCCCATGAACCCAACCTGTTTTATTTTCTTGAAAGCACAGTAGCTGAGTCTCATTTGCACTGGTCTACAGTAGGGCTTTTAGCAAAGTCCCCCTCCTATTTATCTCCACCAATAGTTAGCAAAATCAAGCCCCACAAAGCTTCGTTTTCCTATTTCACTTTGCTACAAATAACAATGCCCCTAACACAGAGAAGCAAAGACCAGCCTTCCAAGAACTCCTTTTCTTGTACAGTTTTTGTAACTCTGAGCTTTGCTATAACAAACAGTCTTTTCTGTCACATCTGCTTAACATACTGACCGAAACAGTCTCCCAAAGAGAAAGTGAGCATTTCCCTCCCCACCACCACCACCACCGACCGCCTTCTTCCTAGCTATGAGATTGACTCTCATGGGTGCTTTTGCATGCGGCCCTGGACTAATTGATGAGCAATGCATTTTGGGAAGTTTCTGTGCTCTGATTTGCTTTCCCCCTTCTTCTCCCTCCCTTCTTGTTCCTTTTTAATTTGTCTAGGAAAGGAAAAGAAAAAGCCCCTCCAGTGTTGTTTCCTGCAAAGACTGTTCTTAAGAGCCCGTTGGACAGCGCGGGGGCTCTTGAAGTGATAGCTAATTGGCAAAAGAAAGGCCCCAATTGTCTTGAGGGGACTGGAAAGTGCCGCGTGTGCTTCTGAAAAGGACTAGGGAGAAGGTGCCCGGTTTCGCTAAGCAGCTGCTGTTGGAGATGTTTGGTGATTACATCAGCATTGGGAAAAAAGAGGCTGGAAAGAGAGAGAGAGAGAGAGAGAGAGAGAGAGAGAGAGAGAGAGTCTAACTTCACAGGGTGTGTGAGAGAGAGTTTATGGAGGTCCCCCCCCTTCTTCCCCTTCCAAAGATCTTCTGACAATAATGTCATTGTCAATATAAGAGTTGTTAATTCTTTATGAATAGTACATGGGGCCTCTTGACTAAATAGTACATGTCCCAAATCTGTCAGCTGGACTCTTCCTTCACATGCTAGTGAGATCACTTTGATTGGAATGTTACAGGAATGGCTCCATCCGCCACACAGCCCTGAATACGACATTATATAATTAGATCTCCCAGAGCAGTGATAGTAGTAGGATTAGTATCCCTCCCTACCCCATTACCTCATTATTGTAGCTTAAATATGGGATCAGGCCCTTTGATGATTTTAGTGGTTGTAATTATATTAACGCGATTCATTTTATGGTCCTGTTTCAGCGCTTATTTAGATTACAAACTGTCCCGTAGGTTTCCTGAAAAGAGGAAGGACTCTTGAAAGAGCTCATATGCATTTTCAATGAACAAATGGTGCCTTACTGGACAATGTCATAGAACAGGACACTCTTTTTTAAAAAATCTTTTCAAAGGGGCTAGTTAATGATTCTTTTCTTCATAGGGTCAACTGAGTTTAGGGTCCATTTGTTTAAATAGGCCTAGATTATAATAAGCAGCGAATTGCAAAGTAGTCCAGTCAACTGGTGTTCATGCAATTGTTGCTGGAACAGACCTGTAGCCATTTGCTACCTAACTATTTGGATAGGCTGAATGCAATCTTATTGAATCCAGGCAGCCAATTGGACAATTCCACTGTCTTTACAAAGTGAGATGACTTCCTTCCTGTTGCACAAGTTGCTGACCTGCTGCCTGAGTCTACAACAGATGCCTATATGCAAAGACTCACCCATACCAACTTGAATCAGGAAGATCAGCATCCCTCTGAAGCACTGATGTAAATAGTTGTTTCTAAAAAAACAAGATGGACATGTTTAGAAGTGATTGTTTAGATCTCAACATTCTAAATGGATCTGGGCCATGAAGACATGCCACTCGAAAACTGTTTAATTAAAATGAACCTCAATAGTGACTGTGAATAAATGGCTTGGCTTGCTGTATATAGTTCTTTTCCTTCCTCATTTGCAGGGATTCAGAAGTTGACTAAGTGGTACAATACCAATGAAGTGATCTTGGTCTGAGTTAGACCATTGGCCCGTCCAGCCCAGGACTGCTTATTCTGACCTGCAATGGCTCCCCAAGTCTTCAGGGCAAAGGTCTTGCCCAGTTCTGCTAACTAAAACTAAAATATCAATCTCTGGAAATCTGATACATTGAATTCAACAAGGCTCCTTTCTGAGTAGACGTGGTTAGGATTGTGCTGTAATATCCTTTGATATGCCAGTGCTAAGATCTGGGGTTTTCTGCATGCAGAGCTTTGTCACCTATATATTTGATAGGTGTTGCCACTATGCATCCACAGATGTCCATTGCATGGATGCTGCCATGATGCAGAGCCTGCTGGATATTCTTTGCAGACCACCAAGAGCAACATGCATTTCTTACAGAAAGGTGTAGTGACATATTGGGGGGCCTAAAATTGCAGCCCTGTTTCTCTGTCAACATAGCAAGGCCCTACACATGAGTAACTCATGAATAAGGTTCTGGTCACTGACTGCCTAAGACAGGCATAGGCAAACTCGGCCCTCCAGATGTTTTGGGACTACAACTCCCATCATCCCTAGCTAATAGGACCAGTCTTTAGGGATGATGGGAATTGTCTCAAAACATCTGGAGGGCCAAGTTTGCCCATGCCTGGCCTAAGAGGAAAAGATAGGAAGCTGTCTTATACTGAGTTACACCATAGGTTCATCTAGCTCAGCTGGCAGTGGCTGGCAGTGGTTTCAGGTGAGGGTCTATTTTAGTCCTACCTGCAGATGGTGGAGACTGAACCTGCAACCTTTTGCATGCAAAGCAGATGATTTAACTGCTATGCTAAATGGTTCTTCATCTTCTAAGATTCTCTGCCCCAGTCACAGTTTTTGAATTGGCCCTACTCCTATTATTCTTATTCTTATTCTCTGCCTTTTCCCCAACAGAGACTCAAGGCAGCTCCTACTTTTGCCTTCTTAGCCTGTTTCTCAGGGCTCACTCAGAGCTGTCTGAGACTCTCCTTCGCTTATTCCCCATGGGCATTTCTTTCTCTAGGTTAGACTTACCCTAGAGAGTTCTATCATTTCCCTCTTGATTCAGAAAAAAAGAGACAACCACACATCTGCCTCACAAGTGAGTTGTGCCCATCAAAAAATATCTTCAGGGTAGCCCCCTACCAAAAATAAAAATAAAATACTATATATAATAATTAAAAGAAGCAACAAACAATTAAAGAGAGCAGCAACAGCAGGTCTTCCTTGCTCCATCAATTTGTCAGAGACAAAATAGATATTAAAATGATTTTAAAAATATTGAAAGGCACAAAAAAGAAGTATTTGCTTGGCACTGAAAATACAGTGATTTAGGGGGTACTTGGAGAATAGTCTCTGATGATGATCTTGGGGTATGGTTGCGCCATTCAGTACTGAGATAGGACTTCATAGGTCAACACCAGGACCATGAATTGGATCCAGAAATGAATTGCAAGCCAGTTCAGGTTGAGAAACTTATAATGTCACATATTTTGGTTTCGATAGTCATCCATGAATGGTTTGATATCCAAACCTTGCTTAGAATCCCTTTCCCAATGTCTGGCACAGAAGATACTCTGTCTGATTTGTAGCTGTTGTCTCTGTCTGACCTTGATTTTCTGGCAGAGAAGCATATGTACTTGCATTAAAAAATACCATTCAGATAAGAAAATGAACAATAGAGCTCCATGAAATTTCCTAATCGCAGACTATGGTGTTACATAACAGAGTAGCAAGGCATGCAGGACTCATCCTGAGCCATGGCAGCAAATTCCCACATTGGCAAAACAAATATTTGATATGCCATAAATCTCATGGAATGCGGTTTGTGTGACAAATGGCCCTAGGATTTAGTTATCTACTGTTTTTTAAAAAATAAAAAATAAACTAAGTCCCATTGAGCTCAATAGATTGTATCCAATGCTAGCTCCATCCAGAGTAAACTAATTGAAAGAGATAAGACTAACTTGGATCCATTTATTTCAATGGAGCCGCTCTGAGCAGAACTGAGTTGGACACATTAGCACTACAGTGGTACCTCGGGTTACATATGCTTCAGGTTACATACGCTTCAGGTTACACACTCCGCTAACCCTGAAATAGTGCTTCAGGTTAAGAACTTTGCTTCAGGATAAGAACAGAAATCGGGCTCCGGCAGTGCGGTGGCAGCAGGAGGCGCCATTAGTTAAAGTGGTGCTTCAGGTTAAGAACAGTTTCAGGTTAAGAACGGACCTCTGGAACGAATTAAGTACTTAACCCGAGGTACCACTATAATATGAAACTAACACTGTATATACAAAGCTGACAATTACAGGAGTAGTGCAGACAACAACCTTTGATATGCCAAAGGTATTGATACAGAGATTGATTAAGACACCCAAATTTCTCCCACCGATGCAGACAGGTGAGTTTGTGCACTGGGTCCAGTTTGTGCATGAAGTCCCACCAAATGGCTTAAAAGTGTTCTGGGTTTTCTGTGCCAGTGGAAACTTTTAAAATATATATATATATATATATATATATATATATATATATATACACACACAATTACAGTTACCCACATATTCTTATACCAGAGCGTGATTTGCTGATCCTTTATGTCTTTCCATTTTCATGCAATTGAAATACGAGTTTCAGTCAGCATCTATGTTACTAACTCCTTTGTGAATGGAGTACCCACAAGCCCATCCCATAAATACAACACAGCAATCAGTTTTACAGACATTAGATATTTCTTTATAGACATCAGACCAACATTTGGGCATTCCCACCATAAATGGTGGAATGTACCTTTACCTCTACATCAACACCAGCAATTTGGTGAGAGTCCCTGATGTCATTCGGGAAAGTTGCACCACTGTGCAGTGCCCCTGTGGGTGACTTTGAATGTACACTCCCTTCTGTATGCTGAAGCTGACCAATACAGTCTAGATAACCATAGTTTATGCCACCTCTTTTCAGTTACATTCATCTGTACAGTGGTACCTTAGGTTACAGATGCTTCAGGTTACAGACGCTTCAGGTTACAGACTCCGCTAACCCAGAAATAGTACCTCAGGTTAAGAACTTTGCTTCCGGATGAGAACAGAAATTGTGTGGCGGTGGCGTGGTGGCAGCGGGAGGCCCCATTAGCTAAAGTGGTACCTCAGGTTAAGAACAGTTTCAGGTTAAGAACGGACCTCCAGAACGAATTAAGTTCTTAACCTGAGGTACCACTGTATATCCATTTCCCAAACACTTTAAAGGCCTAATAAAGGTCCTGTGAAAACTTCCAAAAGTTTACCATTGGGAGCTGACACCAGCCCCTTCCATTGGTGTCTTTGATTTAGGAAGAATGCCTTGAATCCAGTGACAGTTCTAGATGCTTGGGCTTTTATGGATTGGCTGGCTAGAAGATAATGGAAATGGTGTGTTTGCAAACAGATTAGGACCATTGTCTCCATGGTATGTTATGGTTGGTGTAAGGTCATTTACCTGTGCCATTAGTACAGATGTACCATAATCTAAATAACTATTTAAGAACATAACAAGAGCCTGCTGGATCAAGCCAATGGTCCATCTAGTCCAGCATCCTGTTCTCACAATGGCTGAACGGTTGCCTATGAGAAACCAGCTAGCAGGATTCGAGCACAAGAGCACTTTCCCCTCCTGTGGTTTCCATCAACTGGTAGCATTCCCTTCCCTGGATGAGATGGAATTGTGGATCTGCCCAACCTCTGGATGGTGAGCCAATGGCAGCCATGGTGAACCTAGACACAATCTTTGTTTCCTCCCATCCCTTCACCATTTACTCTTCCCTACTAAGGATTGTGCTGATATCATTTAACTTGCCATATACCCCCTAATGAACAGCAAACAGATAGCTCAAACCATGTAGAAATATGAATTTCATTGTAGACATTTCTATTTTGACATTTGCTCTAAGACTCAAAAAAATGCGAGCTGGAAGAGTACATTATTGTAAAAATAAACTTATTTTCAAATGTACAGATTGTATAATGGGCTTAAAATTGGCATAAGCGCCTAAAGCAAAGGGTAACAAAGCCATAAACTTATACTCTAGTGAGCAAGTTGTTATTATTGATTAAAAGAAATCTACAACTTTATTTACAATGCCATTACAATGGCATGCTCTTAAACAATTAGTGTCAAACCAAGTTACTGAGTGTTCAGCGGGGCTTCCATAAACAGAACTGGCGATGCAACAGGTGGCTCAATTACTTTAGGTATGTCCATTACAACCAACCAACAGCAAAGAGAGGCTGAAGATATTAGAGTGGGGGGTGCAATTATGTTGACTCATAGAAGGAATCTGAACAGCTGGGGGCCTAGTGTCTTGTCTGCCAACTGCATACAATAAACTCCCCGTCATAAATGAGAGCTTAAGGGGAAATGCTGTAACTGACAAGAGCTGCTAACATATATGAGAAGTGCTTTTAATTCGAATATTGTCTCAGAAACTTGGAGCAGAGAAGTAGATGCTGTTACCCAACCAATGAAAGACCATTGTCTGCAATGTTTCTTCTTCTTTAATATTTTTTTATATCTAATACTTTTAATATAGAGACATAAAATTGTTCTCTCTCTCTCTCTCTCTCTCTCACACACACACACACACACACACACACACTTTATATTTTAAGGAATGTGTTCTTACTTTATTCCAATTCTTCAGCAGTTGTGAAGGCATTGGGATCTTTTTGGATGCATGGTGTCTCTGAGGCCAGTCTAGATCCACATTCTCTGAAGCGGCTTTGTTATTAGTTCCTTATGGGATAAAATATCTAGTAACATGCACTTAGTGGGAAATACAATTTGTTCTTTTTCAAAATATTTAAAAGTGCTATTTTCCATCTTAAGTGCATTGATTTCAATAGGCTTACGTACGCAGATGTAGCCAAGACTGTAACCTCCATATGTTGATGGACTACATCTCC